TGTTGTCAATGTTTCCTCTGTTTGTTGTCAATGTTTCCTCTGTTTGTTGTCAATGTTTCCTCTGTTTGTCGTCAATGTCTATGTTTGATGTAAACGTTTGTTTGTGACTGAAAACAGGAGGACATGTTGACACGAAACATTAAAAACCAAACGAGGAGGTTTTTCTGCAAACACAAATCAGATTTAAATCATTTTTGTGTGTTTTCCTGTACAGCTGTGTGAGGAAGACTTCCAGAGGCACGTCGTCTCGAAGCCAGAGACGCCGGCGGTCCAAGTCCCCCATCCTGCACCCACCGAAGTTCACCTACTGCAGCTCGTCCTCGGCTCTGCCGCCCCCTGCTGGCTGCCTGAAGCACCAGCGCCTGTCTGAGTCTGCAGAGCCTCATCCTGCAGGGGATGAAGCACCTGCCCCCCCTGCAGGCCCCGCCCTCCAAACTGAGCCCTGTTCCTCGGTCAGGCCCGGCTGCGTCTCCCCTCTGGTGTTCGGGGTGGGTCCTGGTTATGAAAAGCCCGTCGGGGGTGCAGTTCGCCCACCCTCTCTACCAGAAATCACTACGGCTGCGACGTCCCCCAGGTGGGACAGGGAGGGGTCCGGAGACCTGCAGAGTTCCCGCGACAGAGTCGAGGACTTCCGATCCTTATCGGAGCTCCACAGCTCCTGCTCCCCCCAGGAGGAGGCGGGGCAGGAGGCGGGGCCTCAGTGCAGCTGCAGGCCTCAACAGCAGGGCTGGAGCGGCATGGAGGTGTACTCCTTCACCGGGCTCCGCGGTGTCATCTCCGAGTGTGAGGCCAGCCCGCCGAGCCGCGGCGGCGCCCCCAGAACTGTCGGCGCTCCCCCCTCTTCATCGGCGCCGCCGGCATCGGGCTCGCCGCGCTCGTGCTCAGAGCAGGCGCGCGCCTACGTGGACGACATCACGATAGAAGACCTCTCCGGCTACATGGAGTATTACCTCTACATCCCCAAGAAGATGTCCCACATGGCTGAGATGATGTACACCTGAAGGAGCGCCGCTTCTCCTCCTGTCAGAAATTAAAATAACCTTTGTTTTTTCCTGTTGCTGAGTGAAAACTAGAATAAAGAGAGGAAAGTTTGTAAGTGAGCTTTAATCTGGTTTAAAACACATTTTTATTGTTTCTAAAAGTGACTGAAACACGATCTGTCTGTGGTTAGTTTGGGTTTTTCTTCCTTTCTGAGCTCGATGAGGGGTTTAACGTTCACAGATGAAGGTGCCAAAGCTGTGATGTTGGAGGAGATGAGCACAGGGACCGTCTCCTGGCTCACTGTCACTTCACACAATAAAGAAGTAAAAAGGTTCAACTGGACCAGTTGCAGTTCAGTTAAACACAAACCCTTCCTGAGCTCTGGTTTTAACACATGATGGTGTCTAATCCACCTCGAATTATTTAATCTTTTATTTCTAATGACCAGACTTTCCTGTAATCTGTTAAACTGACCCGGATCAACAGTTCTGCACAACTTCAGCCCGTTCAGAGGATTTATTTAGGATTTTCAGTCCTGTATTTGTATCACTTCTCTTTGGAGAAATCTGAAGACTTTTATCACCAGAATAAGGAGACGATGTCTGTTTAAAAGATAAATATTGGTTTAAAGGAGGCTGTGACCTCTGATAAAGATGCAGATTCATGTAAATACGGGACAACCCTGAACTCTTCTGTTTGATCTCAGAATCACCAGTTGTTTGTTTTATATTCAAAAGCTATCAAATGTTTACATTAATAAAATTATATGATCTTTCCCTTGTTTTTTTATTTATTTTTTGTAGGACTGCTGTTTTTATCAATACCATAAAGATCTTTATGTTCAAACTTTTTTTATCTCACTTTTAAAAACAGTGAGGCTGATTATTTAAACCCAGATGTTTTTGTATCAGTGTTGTCCTGCAGCTGGATCTCCATCATTTATATTCCGGCTGACGACGCGGCACGCTGGATGGGTGGAGTTTCCACGACAGCTGTCAATAAAGCCATTACTGAGGATGGAGTAATGACATTTTTATATACTTTAAAACACAGGTTCTCAAACTGGAGTATCAGGACCCCCAAGGGTCCGTGAGTTGTATCTTGGGGGTCCTCAAAGTTTTTCAATAAATTGTTTATTTGATTTTTATTTTAAAAAATGCACAAGAATACACTAAAAAACAAACACACTAGACCAATCAAAAGAATATTCACATGGCTTTTAGCAGGTAAAACGACAGTAAACAATGTGGCTTTGTGAGGGGGTACCTGGAACTTTTTCACCTTTCTAAAGCAGCGGTTCATAAACTTTTTATCTTCAGACCCACAAAATATTCATGGCAAAAACTTGTGACCCCAAATATTACTGGTCTGAGTACATGAACTTTGTTAATAACCCTAAAAATACAGGCTTTTTGACAATCTAAACAGCTTGTACACAAATATAAATACTTATTTATACTTATTTTGTGTTTTTGTTAATATTTATAGGGAAAATATTACATCAGCAATAATTTTATTACCCTTTAAATTGGTTTCTGGAGATTATCCAAGGTGCTTCATGACCCATAATTGGGTCCCAAGCCCAACTTTGGGAACCAAAGGGTCCCCAGAGCCAAAACGTTTGAGAACCCCTGCTTCAGAATATAATCCCTCAGACTGCCCCTCCCACCAGGGAAGGCGTTTACTCCATTTCTAACCGGATCACAGTCCGGCTGACTAAAAACGAGTACATCCAGTCCACTACGTCGTCAGAGAACTGTGACGCTGTGGACCAATCACACGGCGCCAACTGGACGTTGCACCCGGAACGCCCCGCCTCTGACCCTTCTCCGTCCAATCAGCGGGTAATGCGTGTAGCGTTCTGGACTTCCTGACCAATCAGAAGACGAGAGAGTAAAAAAAGCCCCGGTGTTCGCTCAGTTTTCCGGCGTCAGAGACTCATGAGGACAGAGTGAGGGTCGTGTCGCTGCACGGAGGTTTAACGGGAGTTTTTGTGAGTTTGTTCGGGTCGAAATGTTGTGTTTGAGCGGACTGTCGGTGGCTCTCGCGCTCAGCCTCGTGCCTGGAGCCGCTGAAGCTCTGAAGGAGGGAGAATGTGAAGGTAGGACCGGGTGTTAGCTTTTGTGTTAGCCGAGGCTAACCGGGCTGAAACTTTCAGACATCCTGAAACCATTTACTGATTTATTTACTGGTTCATTTACTGATTTATTTACTGGTTCATTTACTGATTTATTTACTGGTTCATTTACTGATTTATTTACTGGTTCATTTACTGATTTATTTACTGGTTCATTTACTGATTTAT